CTCGCCTTACCCAATTCAACTTTCGTACCTTATTCGATTAGGCCAATCAAATTCTAAATTGATGAATACCCCTACTTATAATTGTTTGTTGAAGTCAATTATACAGTACTTTAAAGTACTTATTGAATATATTATAAACTAAAATTAAAGACTAAACGTGATTAAAAATAGTAAGAGACTATTTAAGTTTTATTTTATTGTATGTTCGAGTTTCACTTAGTTATATAATCAAGCAATAGTGATAAGTAGAAGATTTAAAAACTCTTTTAATCCTTTTTTTAAAAATAACTTTGCAGTTTCTTTATAATTTGGTCTTATTACAACTCGTACTGCATAGTTTTTATTTTCTTTTAACACAATTCTATCATTTTTTGTTATTTTTTAAATAATTTTTTTTTAGTTTTTTAAGTTATTATTTTTCTTATATAACATAGATTTATCTATAATGTTGAGCTTTTGTGTCTAATTTTAAACACGTATAAATTCCAAATCAATTCTAGATCTATATATTTTAATACATGATTAGTTGTCCGACAATAAGATTTATCGTTAAAGAATTAAAATTATAAACTAACTTATTTATATGTTAAAAAATTAAAATTTTTGAAAATTAAATAAAAATCTAACATGGTAAAATCTCTCTTCACAAATTAAAAGCAGTTTTGACACCTAATGTAATTAATTAAATTAACATGAAATTATTAGTTAAAGTGTGATTCAATTAACTAGAAATGAGTAAATGACACCAAACCAAATGAAAAGTCAATCCACGATTAACAACCTCGGTCTCTACCAAACTACCAAATACCACTTTCAATCTAAATTTTTGAAGAATTTATTTATAAATTTACATTTAATTAAAAAATAAATATATATATATATATATATGATTATTATATTTATTGTTTTATAAGAGAATATGGGTTTGAGATAAATTTAAGTTTTAAATATTTTGTTAAATTTTTTTTTTAAAAAAAATTATATTATGATTAGTATGTATATATTAAGTAATTAACAAAGATATTTATAATTTTAAATAAAATATTTCAATTTATTTTACAATTAATCATTAAATTTTTTCAGTAAACAATTAATTATTAGATTAGTGCTGATTCATACATAAATACACACCCACACCAACACACACACATACATACACATATGTAATTCTGTTATGTTTATGTCTTGACTCTAATCATGATCGTTATACCCTTCCCTAAATTCCATATTACTAATCATGATTGAAAATTGACGGAACACCCAATTTTTTGAAAATAATTTTACCGGAACATTTATCTTATTGTGTATTTATAGATTGTGGTTGGACGAATGTTTGTCTTATGTCCACATGTTTACTAATAATTGCACGTAAAATTCATATTTCTTTTAAACCATACTGTAAAATTATTAATTAAGTTGACAATACTTGTATTGTCGTTGTGGTTGTAGATGACGTGTAGAGTGACGGCAGGTACACTAATGTTAAACATATGATGATTAGAAAGATACGATGTATAAGAAGAAGAAGAAGAGGAGGAGATTAATTAAGATTAATGATATGATAATTAGTGATGCATTAACTTAATTAATTAAAATGATCTCTTAATTTCGCCAAATTCTTGGTGGTTGATGTGAAGTTTGCATGAGAAGCAATCCTTCCGAGAATGGTCGTCTTCATGACGCAATATTTCTAATTATTATTATTTTATGAATTATTATATTATGTTTTCATTTTCTTTCTGATGTTATTATTTTTTTGTAAGATATTTATACTTATCTAAATTTTTAAATAAAAATATATAGATAAGTATAAATCATCAGAAAAATAATTTCTAAAAAAATAAATTAATATTTTTTTGTATACAATAAAAACAGTATAAACTATAATTAATGAACTGTAAAAATAAAAGTTTCAAGAATAAAAACCCGTAAGTTTCGTGTAACATTCTTATAATACATGGATTATTCCAATTCAAAGAGATGGGTATAAGTATTTTCAATTAAACACACAGAAATTTTCTCGTGATATTCCTTCACTTTTTCTTTTCTTCCAAACAGATTTATCTGTAAATAATCAGTCAACATGCTGCCGGCTTGGCGGGCAAAGTTAGCTGCAGCAAGGAGAAAGGACCCATTTTTACCAACTAAAAGAAAGATTTGATTAATTAAAATTAAAGATGATTTAACAAGAGCAACAACCGCCATGACCAATTTTGCTTGAACTTTCTCAGTGTGTGATCTTAATTTTCTTCTAACCAGAATCTTGATCATCAACTTTACGCTCGAAATTATATCAAAAGCAAACATATTACGAGCGCAACAATTATGACCGAATGATTAATTTGTTTAGATACTTATATTTTTAGCTCGTTCTTAATCTTATATTTATCATAACTAATATTACCACTAGTTTTTTTTTTAATTAAATGGTCAGTATTTTGAACCCTATAGTATGAATGAGAAGGAAAAAAAAACCCATAAACATACGTGTGTATATACATATAGAAAGGTGTGTTGGGGCATGTATATATATATATAATACCAGTTCTATCAGTAAGCAGAAAAGCTTTGAGCCTATTTTCTTTCAAAGTTGCATGTGTTAAATCATTTAATTTTTAGTCAAACATGGGCTGGCCGGGATTGCTTCAAATACTTTCTGTATCTTTAATTAATTCCCAATTAAATTAAATTAAATTATTTTCCCCACTTTATTTCTTTTCTATCTTTGCATTATTTTTTAGCTTTCCCGAATTAACTAATTAATTATTTATGTTAATTAATGTTAAAATATCAGCATCACTTCAATCAGAATCATAAAAGTCATTAGTTTCTAGAGAGGTTCAATTAATTACACTCCCTAAAGGTGGCCAATCCCATATTTGAGCACACCAAAAATGTATTTCTCGATCATATACATATTATATTGCTGGCTGTGGCTGCTAATGTATACATATAAGACCCAAAAGTCATTTATATATAAATATGAAAAAAAATTATATTTTGCTAATTTTCAAAGTGTCTTCATCATGAAATATTCATATATATATATATACATACATTGCATTCTTCTGTATAGTGAAGTATATATTTAAAAATGTACGTATATTTTTGTTTTATTTGGATTTGATGTTACTTGTATCATGGCAATTGAATTAAAAAAAATTGAGTTGTAAAACAATAACTGTTCGAGTAGATTAATTTATTAGAATTCCGTAAAATAGAATGTATTATTATACAACTATACAAACACACACATATTGTATGGCTCCCCTTAAAAACTTATTTTAGCTTTCTATATATATATAATATCCGACTGAGTAAATACAGGATTAGAAACATACATATATATATATATATATGTGTGTGTGTGTGTGTGGAAGCTTTATGAACAGGAATGTGAATGGCTGGTTGGCAAATATTTAAGATATATATGGCATATAACTTTAGAAACATGAAATGGTTATCATGTTTTTGAATAGATTGCCTTTTTCCCAGACATGCTTTAGGCAGCCAAATAAAGCACATATAATTTCAGTCTCAAATCATGTAAATCACAAAATTGAGCTATATATATATATATATTTGATGCGTATGCATTAATTATATATATAGCTCAAGGCTTACATACATACATACGTACATACATACATACGTGCATATATGCATAGAAAAAAAAGACAAAAATAAGTAAATTAAATTGCCTTCGTTTAGATTATTTACCCAGGAATGTAAAATTCCTTCAATTTAGTATAATGAAGCCCTAATTCTGAAACCATAGCAGATAGAAAATTCATCAACTGTAAAACGACACCGTTTCGCGGCGGCTGAAAAATCAAAGAGAAAAATTAATTTGATTTTGACGTAGCAAATAAATTGCAATGTACAGAAACAAAGAGAGTCATTATTATTGCAAATTTTATGAATTTGGTCAAAATCTCTCCTTGATTAATTGAACAAGATCATAAAGCTGCTTCCCTTTACTTTTTTTCTTTCTTTTTTTTTTTCCTGATAGGCAAAACTCACATAATATGTATATACATATATATCTATATATATCTATATCTATATATATATATGGAGATTTTTGAAATGGGTGTCCCACCAAAATATAAAGCAAGTTTTGATGTTGTTTTTATGAGGCAGGCAGTGTCCAAAAAGTACGAAGCTATGAACCCTTTTTTTTTTTTTTTTTGGTAATTAATGAGTAAGATAGAAATTGAGAACTCATTAACATATTAATTTTTTTTTTGGACTTTAATAATATGAGACTTATTTTTTTTTTTATGTTGTAAAATATTTGATTTAAATGATAATTATAATTGAGATATAAATCTCTTATCTTTGAGTTAGGTTACATTTCAAGTTTATAAAATTTTCTTTTTTTATTTATATAAAATCACTAGTTTTTTAAAGTATTATTTTGTAATTTTTTAAAAAAAAAATTTCCAAAAATTTAATAGGTGTATAATAAAAAAAATAAATTATAAAATACTAAACAAAAAAAAAGTAGAAAGTAAAAGATATATATATATATATACTTTAGCCGAGTAATTTAGTTTGAAGGAGGCAAAGGTTTGTGAATTAAGGCCCGTGCCAAACAGCCCACTTTTTCTGACACAATTAAATTATTCCAAGTCCGGCCCATTAAAGACATGGGCTGTCAGTTTAATATATTTCCCATCTCTGAACTTTTTTTTATATATATTTTAAAATATACAATAAAATATTTATATTTTCATAATTATCTTAATATAATTTATTTTATTAAATTACACAAAATTGATAATATACATCAAAAAATTTAATACCATAGTCCTTAAAAATTTAGTAAGAAATTATATTTGATATATATATATATATGTATATATTTCTTTTTTCTTTGTACTTTGACATGGTTAATTAAAATTTTATGGTTTTTTAAGGAACAATTAAAACTTAATAATTTACGTACACTAAAAACGGAAAGAAGTAAAAAAAAAAAAAAAAGAGAGAGAGCGAGAGAAAACTCAAGAGAGTATTACAAGCTTAATCAATGGAGATCCTACCACCTGCTAGAAATCTAACAACGAAAAATCATCTTTCTTACAGGACTCATTTCTACTGCTTGACAAACTCCACTGATCGGAAAACGCCATGGACGACGACGACGACGACGACACCGGCACGTTCCCGCATTTAGCGACAGTCCTCACACTCTCAATCAACTCTTGGGTTCTCGTCTCCTGCGACAGAATCTCCGCCAACTGCTCCGGACTAATCACGAGCTTCACTTTCCAAAATCCATTATTCTTCAAGTACTTATTGTTTTCGCGGGAGAAAATTTCAGTGTAGGATCTTTTTAAGGTACCCTGATAATCTAAGGACATCCTGTAGGGAGCAACGAGCGAGGTGGTGGGTATGGCGCTGTTTGATCGGATATGACCCTGTCTGACAACGTTATCATAGCTCTGACCGATCGGAAGCAGGTAGTAGGATTTGCCGGGGACCAGCTCTTCGCGGTGACATAGAGGTTTCCAGAACAGATCGTGGCTTCGGAAGATGGCGTGGCCGGGGAGCTCGTCGGTGATGCATCCGGTTGTTACCGGAGAGGAGAACTCCATTATACCACCGTTGGATGTTATGACTTTTATCATGCCAAAGCCGTTGCCGCCGCCGCCGCTGTGATCACCGGCGGGAGGCTCTCCTAAGCCTCCGAACAGGCAGTTTCCCATCTACGCCGATGGGTTTCTCCTCTCTTCTTCTTCTTCTTATATTTTGGAAGGAAATGGGGAGAGAGATAATAGTGGACGGGACTGTAGAGCTTCCATGGATGGTTTTGTAGGTAAAAGATGATATTGAGACATTAAAGAGAAGAAAAAAGGCAGGTGAGCCCTTGAGATCAATACAGGTTTCATTCTTAAGTGATTCAGTGGGGGGTCCAACCGCAAGATAAAAAATTCTTATTCAATTTTTTTTAAAAAAAAAATTAAAACTTTATCCTGCTGTTAGGGCAGAATTGCAGAGATTGTTGAGAAAGATTTCAAGAAAATTGAGACTGGTCAACATTATACCAAAGAAGAAAGAGACGGAGGAAGCCCTTTTTACTATCCACTTTTCTCTTTATAAAACCATGTCCATACAGTTTGCCGGCTTCTAAATTCCAATTTATGGATTATATGTATATGAGTGTGCATGTATGTGTATATAGATATATAACTATGCATGTATGTACATGTAAGCACAAAAAGAGGAAGGAATTGAGAGGAAAAAGAAAAGGAACAAAAAGGAGTGGGAGATCGCGGGAAACCTGGGAAGATGAGACATCTGGGCGCAATCTAATCCATTCAGACTTTTCTTTTCCATTATTAAGTGTTCTTCTTTAATATTTAGGGTTTACAGATCTGGAGGCATCTGTCAAACTGTCATCATGACATTCGACTTCGTAGCTCACCGCATTTTCTTTTCTGTTATTTTCTTCAATATCAAAAACACACCCATATATATATATATATACATACATATATAAATTTCACATGAAACCTGCACTTCTAAAGCCGCCTTAATCCTTGCGCGACCCGTAAGTGGCCTTAAACCAAACTTCAGCTACAGCTTGCAACTTGACTTAAAAACCTCTAAATGGCTTTCAGTTCCAATTAAACTGATCAATTTCATTACGATGATCCATGCTAGAGCCAATATATAAAAAGACTGGATTTTTGCTGCTACATTAAAGTTTAAATTACAGAATTGGCCCAGCTAGACGGAGCAAGAGCCATGCATGCATAATGAGAATAGATTTTATGATATCCATCCAATCAAATTCATGTATTATAATCACCAATTTGACCGAGTATACTTCAATCTAGACCTTAAGGCCACGAAGTAGTTTACCCACATAACTGGCCAAGCCATGTGGTCGCACAGAATTTAGCAAGAAGAATGGGAAAATCAAAAGAGCAACTTCAAAGCAAAGTTGAACAGGCAAATGCGAAAAATAACCTTCTCACCATTTTAGTAGATAGGCAATTTTGGATCATATCAGAGTGAAAAATGGAGAAAACATGAGTATGTGAGGTCACATAACATAAAAATGCTACATTCTGTTGGATTTAATTACCAGAAGTCCTGCAAGAAGTTTAATTTTGGGACCAGCCCTATCCATGATTAAGCTGTTAAATATCTTTCAAAGCCTCGAAATTCCAACTCTATGCATCTCTAGAATAAACATGGCATAAGCCCTGCCATAAAGATCCCGGACTACGAAGCAGGGAACCAAAGGTAAGTACAAAAGAGATAGACCAGAGATGTAGGAAACATCTTTACATGGGTGTGTGTATTTATCTCCATATATATGAACTGGAACTAAAATCAGCCTGTCATGCCAAAGATATTTCAATGCATGGGAAGACGAGGGGCACGTGGCCGAACAGGAGTCTTTGATGGGCTCACCCTGATCATACACAACACGCAGATGCCGAGTTAATAACTAATCCATATGAATACCACATCAACCTTTTATTACAATGTAAAGAAAAGGGAAGATCTTCCACTCTGACCTTATTGGTAACGAACCCAAAACCACACCACTACAGTTGAGAGCCGCAATTGCACTTTCAGCCTGCAAAGCAATAATAACATTTTTATGCACATTCATATACATTCTTATTTAGGATCAAACGAGAACATCTACGCAAATGTTAGTAACTAATCCTGTGAGAAAATGAGCCACTCACAAAATCTAAAATCCATTTCAAGACTCTGATCCTAACAGAACCAACAAACAATCACATGCTCCTTCTATATAAACCTTTTACTAGGTAGAAGTTTTTGACCATTTCTTCATTGATCATTCTATATAAACACTTTGCCAGTAAAGTTTTTGACTATCCCTTGTCAAAGGTACTTGTACTTCATATAGTCATGTAAAGTGTTCTGAACCTAACTAAGAATAGCATTTTTTGAAAAAATAACTAAGAATAGCATTGCCAAATATCCCCTGGTTTCTTTCTCAAAAAAGAAAAAACGTCTTCATTGCACTACCTTCAATACAAAAGGATTGCCACCATACGAAAATATTGTCACCCTCGTTAGAGTCACAATTCACATGTATGGTTGACATGCAAGTTCTCACGTATCACTGTTAAATGGACGTTCAATTAACCAGAAACCTAGCATAAGCATTTCCACATTCTATACCTTAAAATAAAGACAGACCACATCAAACTTATCCCATGCCTAAATCTTCATAACAAATTTTTTCTGCCTTCTCATTATAGCATACTTTTATCTTCTGACCTCAATTATTCTTCAGTAATTTTAATGACCAACTTTAATCATCTTTAAGTACTGAGCAACAGATATATATTCTCCAATTTATAAATATAATTTATATTATATATCTCCAGGGTAGATCTACTTATAAACTCAGACAGAACAGAAATAGAAATTGCCATACTTTTGGAGGTCAATCCACGTATCCTTAGCCTCCTAAGAAAATACTAGGTTATCCGTAGCTAGAGCTACTTATAAACTAAGACGAAATACATTATTAGAATTTCACAGTACTTTTGCTTTTTGATATCATTCCTCCTCCTCTGGCTTTTTAAAAAAAAAAAAAAAACAAAGACTAACTAGGATAGTACAGTAAGGTTCCATAACAACAACTAACCTATGTATTTCTCAAATATGATCTCATCTGATAATTCAAGAGATCAACATCAAAGGTTACAGACAGGTGCTAAAGCGTAATTAATTAGTTCGTTACAGGCAATACTTATCCGCACATGCACAGTCAAGAAACTCAACTAACTGATATTTATAAAAAGGGGCCCTGGCCACGAATGAGTCTCCTCTAAAAGGGAAAAAACACAACAGAGAGTCAAGTACAATACAAAAAGGATTATATATCTCCTTTCTATATAATAGCTTACCCTGAAAGCATAATGCTCATGATCCTCATTCAAAGAATTTCATGCGACCTATAAAACTCTTAGCAGCATATTTAATTATTTACCATCTCTGCAGGGTTGTTCTAAGGTTAAGATCAGAAATCTCTGTCTTGCAGCTCATAATCACAATTAATAAAATCATCACAATATCAGTGTAAATATAAAAATGACAGAATATTAATAACTCTGTTTCTCTAAATGGAAAAAAAATCGCATCACAATTCAGTAGTCAATATCTAATCCAATAATATTTATGTGCAAATATTTCCACCTCTTGGCAGTCAGAAGAAGAAAACATAAAAGGAGAAAGGAAATGAATCCTAATTGACAACTTTATCATTGACTCAAAGGAATTTGAAACTCTGAAATGCTTCTGAACACTAAAAAAAGTTCAGGTTCCAGAAAGAATACTGCTAGACATGCATATAATGCTTTAGAAGAAAGACTTAAGTTTCAGCCTTCCTACATTTTCTGTTCCTAAATTTTGTTCAATGTGAAGTAACTATGGAAAGCACCTCAAATAATTCATTAGTAATTGCTGTCCCTAAATACACGATCGTTGTAAATCCCTCCATTAGATAATCAAACAATTAAAAAATAGTGGACCATGGTATTAGAAAAGATATCTTGAATTCAAATCCTTTTTATAGCCACAACAAGATAATCAATATATTTTTAAGTTCCGAGAGAGAGTATTTGTTTCATGGACTTTTGCTCTTTATTTTGACACCTAGCTCTTCCATTTCACTCAAAATTAATCTCAATTTTGAAAGAAAGTTTGTTACAATATAAAATTTTCACTCCCTCTTTCTATACCTTTTTCCTCTTGCTCTCCTTAAAATCCTAGTCTACTAACTTCCCCCAATTCTTCTTAATTTTAGATCTCTAAATTTAGAGATCAGGATCAAGAGCCAAAATGAACCTAAGTGAACACGTAGCACGAACCAGTTAAAAAATTTTGTCACATAGTTCGCAGGAGGGTTGAGCAATCCTGGAATTATGCACAGGACAAAAAGATTATCTTACTGTAATAAAGTGCATGAAAAATTTACCATCACAAACTCCACAAAAGCAATACGAGTTGAATGGTGATAGTCCCCCAGCAGCCTCAGACGATAGACCTGCATTAGTTAAGCGCCAATCAATAACTGAATTCCCTCAGGGATAGAAAGCAACTTATAATACTTTTGCTGCATTCCCTCTTAAATTACAGTGGAAAAAAGATATTTATGCTTAGACAATATCTAATAAACCACCACTAACCTCCCCACATACAGATTCAAAAAAGAGTTTAACATCAGCTTGAGAAACCTGCACAGAACAAATCACATAAGATCACTTGAAGGATTTTATAGTTCACTCTTAGGACCACATTTATAATTTATTCATTTAAAAACTAGTTCACCTTCTTATCAATATTTGTACAATAGATAGTTCTTGCACACATCTCACGTTCATCTTCATTCTGACTCAAAAATATTATTTGATCAGCAAGGTGTTCTGTATAAAGAACTAAATTAGACATCCTCTAATGCAATTATTTGCATCTTTCTCACCCTGGGCAAGAATGTTGGGTTAACTGGTGCAATAGCCGTTTTGGAGGGCAGCACTCTCACTGGGTAGAATCCAAGCATTGTCCCAGATAGATTTAAAGCAGCCCGTGCACTTTCTGGAGAACAAGACCACCAGGGAAGCAATTATGCACATAAATAAGTTAGAATAGAAGAAGCCCAAATAAGCTATACACTAGATAATGGAAAATAAATCGTCCCCATTACCTTCGTCAGTAAACTCAATGAAGGCAAAACGAAGTACAGAGTTAGGATCACCACATATACGACAGTCAACCACCTTTCAAAAGGAAAAAAGATTAACTCAATAATGCAGTTACGACAAAAGACATTCAGATAATCGACAGGAATATTTTACCTGTCCACAACTGACAAATAAGCCAGCAAGCTGTTCTTCAGTAACCTACAAAAAACCGAAACATGAGTCTATATGGAAAGTGCAATCTCTGACCATCAAATAAAAATCCAAAGTGGGAAAGACATTGCAATCTATAAGGACTTGAAGTCTTATACCTGTTGATCAATGTCAGAAACATACACAGTTCTTCGAATTATTTCTTCACGCTGAGCCATACTTGTCCGGCTATTCAGCCTACGTTTCCCTAGTCCAAAAATTTTCTTCTGAAACGTATACACATACCAGTTAACACCGTGCAAAAAATACGTTGATGATGTAGAAAGGACAAGTTTTGAGTTTTGAGGATTAAAATATTCATCATTTTGAATATAAGCAACCAATAAGTTTGAACATGACGAAATAGGCCAATGTTATTAGTTCTTCATTTTTCCTCGCACAATCGAGGATATAGTTCCTATGTCACAGCTCCTTGATACAATGAACCATCAAAAGAATTTCAACCATGGAACAAGCTTAACCACTCTTTGGACAAAAAGTATAAAGAACGCATAACATGATAAAATTTAAGACTCATTCATGACAAAAAACCCAAATAGCAAGAGACATACAGAAAATTTAACCTAATACCACGCACTGAATCAACTGCGGAGTATAAAACCCTTTCTAGTAAAGCAAAATTCCTCATCAACAAAACAAAACCTTCAAAACAGGAAAAAGCTACTAACACAAAAAAGAAAAATTAAGCAAAAAAAGAAGTGTTAGTGTCAATACCCGTCGACCACCAGAGTTCTCGTTAACTTGGCCATTTCTGGCGGCAGCACTGAAGTTGTCACTCAAAAGGGAGCTGTTAGAATAAAACCCTCCATTAATTCCGTTGACCCCATTACCTCCGTGCTTGGCCAGCGAAGGAGGAACGAACTCCTCAGCCATGGGGTTCAGCTTAGAGAAGAGCTCCTGCAGCTCCCTCATATCACGCTTGAAACTCTCGTCGCCATCGCCGCCGTCGGATCTCGCCACGTGGCCCACCTGAGCCCCGATCTTCCCGTAGAGAACTTGATCATGGCGGAGAACCGGCAGATTGCTGTTCTGATGCAAACCCGTGTCGATTCTCGATCGAACGTGGGTTTGCTTCGGCTGATCCTGATCAAGCGATGATACACTTGAATCTTGACTGGTTGATGATGACACTGATGATGCTCCCACACTCGCCCCCAAATCAGCACCAGTATTCTCGACGACTGCCATGATTGACTCCCTCGAATCTACCCACAACTCGTCAAATTTTCCGCTCTTCTATCGACCGATCAAAAGCTAGATACAGATAGTAACCTAATAAAACTGAAAAAACCCAAAAACACAATTGAAAATTGCAGCTTAGTGAATATAAGATCACGTATCTCAAGCTAACCCGCAATCGTCTCCATTGAAGGAGAACAAAAGAACCTCGAGATAACTACGGAGAAAACGAAATGGCAGGAAAAAGAAATTAAAAAGAAATGAAAAGTGAAATTAAAAAAAAAAAAAACAAAAACAAAAAGCAAGAAGCTGTTTCACTTCTTACAGTGGCTAAAGTTCGTATTTTTCACTGTTTGTTTCGCAGTAAAATGCGTCTGACTACGTGAGAGAGATAAATGGAAGAAGCCTAATAAGATCTTCGGTTGGGAGCAGAAGACGATGATGATCCGCTTCACATCCTACTAAAAAAATTGGAGCTTTAATTCTTCAACTCATGTCCTGCTTTTGGCCGAACGCGGCCATCTACATACATACATACATATTATATAGTCATGCATGTATGCGTATGTATGTATGTATGTATCACATGTTGTTTAATACATACGTGGCAGGTGGTGATTGGACCATGATTTGGTATGCATCATGTGTGTGTCTGATACTTTACTGCTTTGTAAATTACCATAACCGCTCTTGCCAATACTTATCCATCATGGAGGGCATTTTAGTAATTCCAGAAAATGCTCAAGGCTTCAAGTTTCCTAAGCAGCCTTTGTTTTTCTTTTCTTTTTTTTTTTAATAAAATTATAAAAATTATAAAAACAATTTAAATATGATTCTATTTATAAATTATATAAAAAATTATGATTGACCCAATTTCTATTTTTAACTATTTTTATAAATGAATTTAGTCAACTCTAACTCAATAAATATTAAAGTCAAACATGAAATGACAAACATGCCCTCCATTTCAATTCATTCACTTGTATTCTCTCGCCTAATATTGTGATTATTTAGAATATGTATTGCAAAATTCCAAAATTGGAATCCAATTCAATTATGAAATTAAAATATTCAAAATTCTTTTTAAATCGGGAAAAAGAAAATTATATATATATATATATATATCTCAACCCGTATAATTTTGAATTAATATCCATTCTTCTTGTCCGTAATGTATAAGTCAAAATATTATGTATGCATATACTAAGATTATATATATACCCAATAATATTCTATATTTTATTGAAATATATTAATATTATAGATTGAGTATATTAAAATATTTTATATAATATTCTATATTTCAACATATAAAATATTATATTATCCAATAATATATAAGATATTATATATTAAACGTTACCTCTAAACTCTAATTAAATTTTTTTTTTAAATATAAAATATTTTAATATTAAATTTTATATTTAAATAAAAATTTAACTCAAATTAACTAAAGACAAACCGAGTTGCACTAAATTTAATTGTGCATTTTTTTTTAAAAAAAAAGTAAATGCATAACGATTGTCTAAGAACATACAATAATATTACATTTTTGTATAACAATTATTTTAGTTCATTATTTATATATTTTTTTCAAATATTATACAATTGATTATGTAAATAATAAGATAAATAATTTCAAATAATAAATATATATACATATACATATATAATTTGTATATTTGATTGTTCTTGTGATATACAATTGATTATTAAAAATACAGATTTATTATTGATTTGTTATTATTTTTTTATATATTTTTTACTTTTATAAAATAATAATTATCAATTTGACAATTTGTGCATTTATATAAGTAGTTAAAAAATATTTAATTATATGTTAAGTTCTAAACACAATTCTTATATTATACCCTTTCAATTAATTTATATAATGACGTACATTAAATAATTAAATTTTTATCTTTTAGTATTATAGATAATACGTATAAAGTTTAATAAAATTTAATTATATCAAAAATCATGATTTAGTTTATTTTAATAAATAAAAAGTTGATTATTATATGGTAATATGTGAATTTTCAGAATCTTTTTATTTTATGATTTTTAATTTAGTTTCGATATAAATATAATATACATAGACATATATAAATAAAAATTATTTCATACGTTAAACAATTAAAACGTTTTTATTGTCATTTAAACTTATAAGACGGTGCATAAATAATATTTACTAGAAACTTGTTGTTGATTTTCCAATCTCTTATTCATTATTTAATGAGGTTAGAAATTTTATAGGTTTTAAAATTTTTTTTATTGGGTTCATAGAATTTGTATTAAAGTCAATTAACCCTTACCTAACTATCAAAATTGGGCCACGGTCATCACCGTATGGAGCTTCACATAAATGGGCCGAGCTGAGCCGAGCCGAGGCGCGTTCGATTGAGTAAATGGAAAGAGATGGACGCCAAAAACGATAAAATTTATTAATATCGACTTTCAGTTCCGCCCACCCCTGCGAGAGAGAGAAGCCATTTTCGTCCGTGCTGATTGAAAAAGATCCCATGCTGCTCAAACTGCAATTTCACAGAATTTGAATTTCTCATCTTTCTCTTTCTCAAACTCAATCAAGCGACTTCTTGTTTTCCCGTGGAAACCAAAAGAGGCACACAGAGGAAGCTAACGCGGAAAACTCCATCGAATTTAAGGTTCTGTCTTCCTCCTTTTCCAGGTACTATCATTCTTGGATTTGAATTATCTCTCGCTCATGACTCAGAACTTAATCTCCTTCAAAAATCGAGGGAACTACTTTGATTTTATATAGGCAATTATTTGATTCCGCGTATAACGATGTGAATTGGAAGCTTAGTACTTTAGGATTTGGGGTTAGGTTACTATCTTTCTTTTTTTCCTTCCCTTATCTGTTACTTGTTAACGAAGAGTCGAGGCTTTAGTTAATTAAGGTTAGGTTTCTAGTTCTTAGGACAGAGGAGGTTACAACTATGAAGGGGCGGTCGCACCGTCTCCAAAGCGCGGACCCACACGAGGACTGGGTTGATGGCTCTTGGACCGTGGATTGCGTTTGTGGTGTGAATTTCGATGACGGTGAAGAAATGGTGAATTGCGATGAGTGCGGGGTATGGGTGCACACAAGGTGCTCTCGGTATGTGAAGGGGGATGAGTTGTTTACATGCGATAAATGCAAGAACAAGAATAATAGGAATGATAGTGAGGAGACGGAGGTTGCACAGTTGTTGGTTGAGTTGCCTACCAAGACCTTGAGGATGGAGAGCTCCTATGCTGCCAATGCACCTGCACAAGCCCCCCTTAGGCTTTGGGCTGATATCCCAATGGAAGAGAAAGTTCATGTGCAAGGAATTCCTGGTGGTGACCCTGTTCTATTTGCAGGACTGTCTACAGTTTTTACACGGGAGTTATGGAAGTGCAGGGGATATGTGCCCAAGAAGTTTAATTTTCAGTATAGGGAATTTCCTTGCTGGGATGACAATGAGAAAGATCAAGTGAAAAATTCGGATGAAAATCGGAATCAAGTAGATAATGGTGCAGGTGTTCTGTTTTTATTGTCAAAGGATAGTCATATGAATGCACCCATGACTGGTTTAGTTGGCATCAGTGACAGGGATGAGGAAGCAGTGTATGGGAAGAAGGAAGATGCTAAGAAGTGGGAAGGTGAGGAGGTGGACATTGGGCATTGGCAGAATGGTGAGGAGGATAGAAGCTTGCTTCATCCTGATATGGCACATTCAAATAAGCGCAAGAAAGAAGAGTCCGGAACATCAAGAGATCGGAGTAGCAAGAAGAAGGCCAGAGTTGCCGATAAGGTGACTGATGAAAAGAAGAGAAATACACATGCCTCTAAAGCAGGTTATCCATCTACTTTTTGGTGCTTTTACACTGTGAATATAAAGACAAATGGGTTGCTTCTTAGATAATTTTTAGAATATTTTTTTAGTTCTGTTACTGTCTCATCTTTTGACGGGAAGAATTTGGATTATAAATCTCATCACTAGTTGACATAAGCATGTTAATTCTGATTTTTTTACTTTTTTTATCACTAGTGTCTAAACCCAGTGGCGATGCAAAACAATTGGAATTTTCTGGAGACAGAGACTCGGAAGCTGTCAAGACCGAAATTCAAAGTAAAAAGAGTTCAAGAGATTCTGTTCCATGTGACCACTTGCCAGAAAATACTCTTACTTCGAACAACAGTGATGAGAAGGTGAACAGAAAATCAATGGCCATTGTGAACTCTATGGAACCTGCACCTTTTAATGATTCTGAATGTGATCCTACTATTGGAGTTCGACCAGAGGTTGGTGAACCTGAGTGTCTAGTGCCTGGAGGCACTAAGAGTTCTCCCGAGGCCAATGTTGCTTCCTTGCCAGATAAAATGGATTCTGAGAGCTGTCCTGTAAAAGAAAAGGTATCCTTCTCTTTGGCTTACACATGGTAATATGGAAATATTTATAATATGGAGGTCTAGTACTTTATGTCTGTTTGTTTGCATGTTTAACAGCCTTAACACTGGGTGGACATTAGAGGCTCAAAATGCTAAACATCCCCATGATAGTTGCAATTCCAAAATTATGTTTTTAGTATGCATGAAGAAAAGCAATAATATAGAAAAGCACATGTCACATCTCGGGTTATAGTTGCAGATAGGTTGGCTGAGAATGTAACACATAGGCCAGTTTCTTTCAAAAAACGAAAAACCAGGCCAATACTGAAGAATTTGATCTTTCGTGATTTCATTAATGGAATCTTGATCAAGGATTTCTTTGCTGTTCTTATAAGTATTGCTTCATCCCTTACATTGAGCACTCATATCAGGAAGAAACTAACATCTGCTGGGCTGAGTGAACATTCGAATGATTGTGAGTTATTAATATAACATTGTGCGTGGTGTAGATTGATTGGCCTTCTTTGGCATGAATGAACTAAAAATGAAGACCTAAAAGGAATTAAAAAAATATTTTTTCTGGGCAAATCCTAGGACTCGTGGGCTTGATCATCATTTTGTGTCGTCATAACTGTCCTGACCTTTCACGACCTTACTTGAATAGAATCTGTTCTATAGGTTGTATCTCTGTATCCTTGAGTTTTAAGGAGACAGGACCCAAGCCTGGTTGATATAATGAGACTTTGTGGCTAGAGCGTGAGTGGTTGCTGGCTAGTCCTTCTGGTTTTATGGTGGCAGTATGAGGATTGTTCCCAGCTCAGAGAATCTGAATGGGGTGGCCATACAGTTATCTGACAGACCCAACATCTTTTATTTTTTTTTAAAAATAACTGTCCTGACCTTTCATCAAAAAATAACTGTCCAGACCTATATGGAGCGTGCTTAAAAGAAAAAAAAAATTGTTAAATGTCTTGTTTACTCAAAATAATTTCTCACTTTATTTAAACTGCTTCATACAGCAACTAGCTTTTTTCATGATAGACATAAGGAGATAGCTTTGTGACTTTTCTTTTCTTATTTTTGTAAAAGGGAGACAGCATAGGAGGTGATAGATTAGATGGTAGCCTTGAAGGTTCTGAAAGAAGTGTTATAAAGCATTCTATTGATGGTATAGCTGGTAGTGCACCTGAAGATGCGAGCAAACAGATTCAAGAAGATTTTAATGGAGACAGTGGTTCGGGTTGTAAGCAATCTGATGTTGAAGTGAAATTGGAAAGGGACAGGGATAGTTCTAGAGGTGTCTTATATTCCCAATCTTCCCCCAGTGTTGATGCTGGACATTCAGTGCTTGCTGTAGATCACATGTCAGAGACTTCTAAAATCAATAATTCAGCAGCAGGCAGTTTACAGTCTAGTGACCAGAAGGTACAAGGTCTTGATAGAATTTCGGAAGCAGTCAATAATTGCCATACAGATAAAGCTGATCAATTGTCCAGTGATCCTTGTCGACCTAAACGAGAAGTGGAAGGTTCAGAAGGTTCTGCACTGGTGCAGAAAGGTTCTTCAGATTCCAAACATGGTTCTGAATTGCTCGAGGAGTCATTAAAACCTAATGGTACTGCTCTGAACTCTTTGGCTGTCTCTAGTCAGCGTAAAGTGGTAGTATGTGTTGGAAAATCATCTTACACTTCTTCCAGTACTGTGAAATCATCTGGTGTTGACAATATTAAACCTGCAGATGCTCAGCATTCTGATCAAAGCTCTAAGGAACGACTAATGTCCGACAGCAGTGCCAGCAGTAAAAAGGAACATAAAAATGATGTCAGAGATGGAGATAGGCAGAAGTTTGCAAGGAAATCCCTCAAAGAGCATCCAAAGTCCTCTGTGTCTGCTAAAGTGTCACATCAAAGTAGGGTTTCGCATACATATGTTTCTAAGAGAACTGTATCAGATTCTAAAGATTCTGTGCCACCATCAACATCAAAGACTTCTTCAATGCAGAATACTGGTGTCACTTCTATCTCTGGGGACGCTGCTGGATCATTCCAGAATCAGTGTTCTTCACAAGTACAAAATAGGACATCATCTTCAGGTGTTCCCCGGAAGGGTGAAAAACCTGGTTACCCGAATTTCCAGCCATCTAAAAATCATGCACAATCTGTTCATCCTCCTGTTCCTTCAAATTCTTCCACAACTCTGAGTGATGAAGAGGTGAAAACAGATCTTTCATTTATTTTCTAATAAGAATTTTCTTCTCTAATAGTCTTATGTTCTAAATTTTTCTTTTTTTATTTTCTTCAGCTTGCTTTGCTTTTACATCAAGAACTCAACAGTTCTCCTAGAGTGCCTCGGGTGCCTAGGGTTCGTAATGCAGGTAGTCTTCCCCAGTTGGCTTCGTCAACTGCTATGAGTACGCTAACAAAGCGAACATCTAGTTCTGGAGGGAAGGATCATGGTTTGGTATGATATGCTCTTGTTATTAACAGCATTTTGACCTCATATATCATCCCAATAAGTCATTTACATCCTTTGGTTATGGAGCTTGTCAATTGGGTTTAGCTTTTGTTGCTGATCTTCTATTGATTCTCCATAGGTTTCTAGAAGAAAAAACAAGGATGCATCTAAGGATGGTGTCCTTTCATCTAGTGAGCTTGATGATGAAGCTAAAAAGACTAACAAAGTTCCATCTTCACCAGATCTGAGGAGACTAGATAATGGACTTATAGCAGAAGCTTCATCAAAAAGGGAAGAGACTGAAGTACCACCAGTGCATGCAATAAAGAAGAACATGCTTCCCTCCTCCGCAACCACAAGTAATGGCCCTTCTTCCTCCAACGAGGCAAATGATAATAACTTTTCATCGATCCGCAACTCACCAAGACATATGTCTGATGATGATCTGGGCACAGTTCGTAGTCCACTACATCGCACTTTACCTGGTAACTGCCCCTTATGAGAGGGGGAATCTTATGAATTTATTTGTTTTTGCCTCTTGGCTGGTGTTCTAAAAGGTTCTCTTACTAACTATATTTGCATTCCTTTTTTGTCATACTAGGCTTGATCAATGAAATATTGATGAAGAACCATGGTAGGCGAATGAGCCATGAGGAACTTTTTGATGCTGTTTTACCGGTATGGTTGCATCTTCTTTGCGGAGTGCTTGCTGTTCTTCATAGATATCTATTTGCAAGTTTTGGTGGGGAGAGAAATCAATTCTGATTCTTCTCTGTATTTTCTGTTTCCTTTTGCAGCACTGGCCTAACTTGAGGAAGCATAATGGAGAGCGTTATGCATATTCAAGTCATTCTCAGGCTGTTCTTGATTGTCTGAGGAATCGCCAGGAATGGGCTCGTTTGGTTGATCGTGGTCCAAAGGTTTGCACACAGAAAACTATTTTATTCTACGGAAAACTGTTATCACGCATTCTTCTCCAAAAAAACAAAAAAAAAAACTGTTATTGAACAGTCTCATTTGGGCGATATAGATCAAAGGAGGGAGGCAAGGAAGCATAGGAATTGGCAAATCTGAATTTTTATGGACTGTTAAGCCTTGAACTTCCATGCTTCACTTCTTTTACTTGAATTAGAGGTCTTTGGTGTTAGATACGGTTTTTTTTTTTTTATAGTGACCCTCTCTTACATCTGGTTCAGTTTAGAGGACCCTGCTTGATATTTTAGTTTGTTTGTAAATCACTCCAACATGGATTGCACCCCTTCATATACAATGCATTTGTCTTCTGAAAAATAATCCGGTTGCATATCTAATCAAAATGGTCTTGCAAAGATTTTCTTGTGGATTCAGTTTCAAGATAGGAAGTTGGATTCTTTTCCTATATACTTGCTTTGTAGTAATTATCAATAGTGATATTTTATAAAAATGAGAGCTGAGTATTTTCACAATAAAAAGAGACTTAGAACTGCCTGGAAGTGAGGAGTTGGTTCACCCCAACCATGTGAAAGAAATGAAATAAAATAAATAAAAAACTACTTCTCTTTTAGTGTCTCCATTAGATACAGATAGCAACCTTTTAATGAAATTAAACTTTACATTTTTTCTCAGACTAATTCAACTAGAAAAAGGCGCAAGCTTGATGCTGAAGAATCAGAAGGCAATGACTATAGCAAAGGGAAAACAACGAAGGAGGTAGAAACTAAAAGCCTTAACGCACAAAGAGAAGATTTTCCCAAAGGCAAGCGGAATGCCAGAAAACGAAGGCATTTGGTTTTGCAAGGAAGACGGATAAAGGATATGGCGAAGAGACGAAGAACAGAGTCCACAGAAGAGGATAGTGGCCCATTTTCTGATTCCAGCGAGGAAAGCATGTTCAGCGAGGATGAGATTCAGGATGGTGGAGCCTAAAAACAGCAGGGAGGGAGGTTTTGTCAGCTAGCTCAGATGAGACATGGACTACGCAGTTGTTATATATTTATGTTCTTGTGGGTTAAACTGCTATCATCAGGTCAGGATGTGGCTTCTGCCTTAAATAGCAACAACCATTTTTGCGGAGGGTTTTTTGTGTGTGAGATTGGATTTGTTTCAGTCATTTTCTTCGAAATCTCCTTTGATATAACATGATTGGGTTTTGGGCTTTAAAAGCTGCAGTGCAGCTCCTAATGTTCTTGATTTGAACATGTAACGCTGTTGTAAATAGTGTAATTTTTGTGGCTTTATGCCAAGTGTTGTTGTAAGAAGAGGCAGAGGCAGAGTCAGATTAAAGTAGCGTAGGTAGGGAGTAGGAAATTAGTTAGGGTTGTAAGAAGAATGTAAATTTGTTTTCCTAAAGAAACTGATTGGTTAGGATTGAAGTTTGCTATAAAGGTTTGGTGAAGTCTTATTTCTCAATTCTTTACCCTGTTGCTTTGGGTTGAAGGCAGAAAATGAACCCTCTACTTCTACCTAGTTTTTCTGTTTGGAGCAAATGGTTTGCAAGTGATGCCCTTCCTTTTCTTGCATGTGGATAAGTTATATAGACCGGAAGAAATGAATGATTCTTAACTTCTTTTCTTCTCCAAATACCTGAAGGGGTTGGTTTTGGTTTTGGATGTTTTATTTTGTTTTTATTTTTTCAAACATTCTATCTTGAAGGTCAATATCACACGAAACATTATGCCGATTAAGCTTAATTACACTAATATATTTAAAATTTGAAAGTAGAATATTATTCGCCGCTAAATCTGAGACTATTAATAATACTAATTATTTATGAATCTATCTTATGTTCAATTCCTATTGCAATAAAGATCAAGAGCTTTAGATGAGCTAAAGCGAATAAGAGTTTTGCTTAGGACTCATCCTCTGGAGTCAATAGGCTTGACATGGTGGCCTCTGGGACATCAATCCAGTATAGAGATTCAATAGTCAGTCCCAAGTTCTAATTCTACTTTGTAAGGCTTGTCCTCCTTGTTGACATTGTGCTTGAAGACGTATTCAGTACTATAAAATAAAATATTAAAAGCTCCTAAAATTAACGAGTGATTGCCGTTAAAAATTTATTTATTTTCTATCTGAAGATGACTGATCAAACTTATTTTTTTTCCAAATTTGGATTGATATAGTTTATTTCAATTCAGATCAAATTAGGGTAAAAAGAAAATGGGAGCATATGCGGTTGGTGTTGAATGCACATGGGGGGGGGGAGGGGGAGAAGAAAATGAACATGGCGTGTTCAATGCTTAATAATATATTTACCAAAACTAGATTGAACCCCAAGGTCAAGAGAATTTCTGTAGAAACTGGAAAGTACAAGTAGTAATAGTGATTAGTGGATTAAGGAAGTTAAAAATAAAAAAGAAAGTAAAAAAAAATTATGAGGTGGCCAATTGCCTGTCCTTTTCTTATAGGCCATAAAAGAGTGCGTGACTCCAACCAGTTAAAGAAACAAAAAGACAAAATCCTTGAAAAGACGGTAATATTTCCATTTTCTCCTCTCTCTCTCTCTCCCTCTCTCTCATTTAACTTCCTCTTCCTCCTTCCTCCTCCCACTCTTTCTATTCTTCTCTGTTCGACGCTGTTCCTTCTCTCTCTCTCTCTCGCTCTTCTAGCTCGGGCATCAGACTCCACGTCGTCGAGGCATGTTTATGTATATGGATATGTTCAGTCTATTTTTTTTCTTGTTTTTCGATTTTGATCGTGCAATTACTGAACCTCGCAATTGATCTGCGATGTTGAGATTTGGATTGTCATTTTGAGATCTTCTTGAATCTTAATCGGTTTTTCTAGGGTTATTTCCCTGAGATGACGATACCGGATTCAGGATTTATGATGGACAACGGAGCTAGTTGCTTGCCGTGCACGCCCGAGGAGGAGAAGCAGATCGTAAAGGATCTAACAACTCAATCGGAGATGCATTTGAAGGAAGGCAACTTGTATTATGTTATTTCCAACAGGTGCCTCAAATTTTGTTCATGGATTTTTAGGTTTTGCTTTTCCAACTTGTTGTACTCGTGGAATAGTGCTTCCACTTCTCTTTCGTTTATGCTTTGCTATTTTCTACTTCTTTTTTAATCTGCAAGGAAGTCCGAATCCCCCGTCCTCCTTTCTTTAGTTGATACTATGTAAAATCATCTCTCTGTTTTAATCTTTTGAACTTGGTCGAATAATCTTGTATTTGTCATACAGATATTGCATTTAGACTGTGTAGTTCAGACGACATTTTCTTCCGCGTTAACATTTATTTTCTCAAGTAGGCGAGTCAATTTTGCTTCCATCATATAGTCTATTTATTTATCGCTAGGAATTTCTATCACTGCAATCCAATAACGTTCGCTGAGGAA